ATTTATAGCGTGCATGCATGCGCGAAGAACACGGAATGACCAAGACTTAGAGGGGAGATTAGAGAGGGAGTGCCCACGTTCTGCATGACCGGGCCACGGCGTGGGGGACGTAGCCACTCTCCACGCATCGATCTGGGCATGTAGTACGTAGTTCCAAAAACCCAACAACAGAAGAAGAAGGAGGGCGGGAGAGACGGAGTGCAAGAAGAAAAATACAGTTACAATGGCGCCCGCCCAAGATTACAGTTACACAACCGATTAAAGGCGCCCACTAATCAGAATTTCGTTGCAGCTGCAAAAAGAAGCGCGCAAACAAATAAGGGCGCCACGCGGCAAAAGAAAGTCCTAATTACAAAATTCCTAACTAAGGCGAAAAACAAAAGTACAGGTTCCGAGGAGAGAAGTCGAAATTTTGAGAGCCATCAGGGCTCGACAAAGTTCGAAAAAAATTCAAAAGGAAATTCAAAAAAGGAACACGGCAATTTCCCGCGCGTTGTCCGTGCCAAAAAAATCGAACCCGAAATGAAAGAAACGACGTCAACATTTATTAATCGCGCGCTCGGTGGCACGCTGGACATCCATCCAACCGATCGATCAACCGGTCGTCCCAGGACACACCCAGCTCCGAGCCCGACCACCCGAAAAGAAGCAACGAAAAAGACGAAAAAGCAAGGACACTGATGCAATTTTCCACCGATCTCGATCTCCCGTAATTGGCCCAATCTTCCCAGCTTAGGACCCCTGATTGCAACCGCGCAGAAAATTCCGCGTTACAGAAAGTGGCTCGTCACATATGTGACGCCCAGGGGGTTCCAATATTAGCAAGCTCCTGCTTGCTTGTTGACACGTGTCGATTTCTCTAATCGATCAACATGCGGAGCACTTCTCTTTATGCCACTTACCGTTCGATTGCGTGTGGACGTCATCCAACGTGGCAACTCTGCTCTTCTACTAATTCCTCAGATTGGGCTCTTCGACGATCCAAGGACGGGATCTTTCTTGTGCCGTCGCCGCGAGACGTGTTCATTACCGCTGCATCAGTATATTGCAGGGAGAGGGGGCATGAAGCGGTTGATTGCGGGGGAGGCGAAATTAGGAAGGGTAGCATAGTGGAAGGAGCGATGGATGCGGGGGAAACGAGGGACCTCATGAAGATGCCGAAAAGCGGCAATGTAGTCGGGGTAGATGGTGGAGAGGGTCCGTCGTAGGGCGGCGCGAAAATCTTCATAATTTTCGCAGGCGGGAACAGTCCCTGACACAATACAATATACTTCTACGTGGTTATATTCCCGCCAGTCTGCGCTAAACAGGAGTACATGAAGGAGAAAGGAATCAACCACAGAGCGAGTAGTGACGTGTGGATAGACGGAGATTAGAAGGCGGGTGGCATAGAGATGGTAAAAAAGGTGATGGGGGAACGGATACCATCCCTTGGGGAACGAGGGTCTAAGGGGGAGGCGGGTGAGCATGAGGTAGTCACGGGGTCGGCGAGAGAACGACCGGGGACAAAGCCCAAACGCCGAGATCTTGATATAGACGAAGGGAGGATCGGGACGGGGAGTCGGAGGGAGTTGGCGATTCACTTCTTCTTCTTCTGCTTCGTGATCCCTCTGCTGTGGTTCCATCGTCTTCCACTTCTGGCGGCTCTGGATCACGCCACGGGTCTCCGATCGACGGATCGGCAGAGGATACGTTTGTTGCGGGTCACTTTCCCTCTGCGGTTTCCTGGCGCTTCCGCTTCCTCCGCTCTCGTGCTCGTTCTCGCGCCGCTTCGCGCACTTCAGCCTCGAATCCTTCGCACTCCGATCCTTATAGCCTGCTTCCTTCTTCTTCTTCTTCTGGTTCCACCCCCTCGTCCTGCGCCTGCGGCTGGTTTGTTTCGTCAACTATCCTTGCCTCTCTTTCGGGTACGTAGTCTGGATCGTCCCTTTCCTCACTCGATGGCACTTCTTCTTCCTCTTCTTCGTCGGCTCCTCTTATCTCCTCGTCCTGTGCCACGTTTTGCCTCGCGATCGGGTCCCAAAACGTGAGATCGGTAACGTCGATCTCCAAATAGAGCGCCTGGGAGGGATAGAGACAATTATCCGCGTCGATTTCCGTGCACGAGGACCACACGAAGTGCAGCTCGAGTGTTCGAGATAGCACGTGGGTGCCAGGCTGATTGTCGCTACGCGACAAGATATCCAGGGGCAGATCGTCCGCCAGCTGCGCCAAAAACACCAGCAATTCGTCCGTGATCAAGGTGAGATTGTTGTCCCCCACCTTCCCGAGCAGGAATCCCAGCAGGTTGCCCTGCTCTGTTGTCCTCCAGGCTTGGATGATCAGAAACTCCACGCTGTCTTCTGGGTGCTCCGGCCCTTCTCCGAATGGGGCCGCCTCTGACCAGCGGAACTCTATCTCCAATAGGCAGAAAGCGAGCTCGATATAGTTCTCCCACCACGCGTCCCACTTCCCCTCATTCAGTAGCGGCGCACTGTTCTCCTTAACTCGGTAGGAGAGGGTGGGAGCCCGCGGAGACTTCCAGAGGGTGGGGATGCTGGAGGGGAGGCCGAAATAGGAGACTCGACGAAGACTCATTGGGGCGGCTCGAAGGGACGAAGCTCCGGAAGCACGATCGCGGGCGATCTTCGAAACGAGCGGAGCTGGAGATCCGTGTCATGAGCCGGTACAATGGTATCTCCTCGTTGAGCCAGAAGATTTGTCCACGCCGTCCTTACTTCCCCAGCCCAAATGCGCAACGTTCGATAGATGTCGGAGTGATTCGCCGACGGGATTGCTGTGATATCCCCCGTAAAAACGACAATGACAGTGATATGGCTAATCCCGGGAGGGGATAGCCGTTGAAAGGCCGAGATCTTGGCCAACACGCGCGTAGTTGCTTCCTCCGCGAATTGAAACTCTGTCGCCGTGTAGATCGCCGACGTACTGAAGAAAGCCGCAAACCGAAGGAGATCTGGGCAGAGGTGGGGCCGCTGCACCTGTCGTATAACACTGATTCGCCCCCGCGGAGTAAGAAGCCGCGCGCCGATCACTTATTCTGTCGCAAAGCTCATGGCGGCGGTGTCGAGGTGAGAGAGGGAGAACAGGAGGAAGACGGAGAGATAGGAGAGAGATTGTCGTCGTTTTCGGCTTCTTCGGAGGGAGAGATTGAGGGAGAAGGAGACGGAGCAGAGGGGAGGAGGCGAAGATAGGACACGTGGCGTGTGATCGGACGAGTCGATCGACTGCCGGAGACTTCCAGAGCGAGACGCACGTTGTTCACGCCGTTGGGGCCAAGCTCGATTACGCGATATCGCCCGAAGAATCGTGGCGCTAGCTTCCCTTGGCGAGCACATTTCCTCACCTGCACCACGTCCCCCAATTTATACTGGGGCCGCGGACCCGCATTCCCATTTCGGGCCTCGTAGCTCCGGATCTGTCGGCCTTGGGCTAGTTCGGTCATTTTCTGTCGTTTTCGGGCCAGCTTGGGCAGTGACCGTTCCATTAGCTCTAGGTGTCGTTTGACCTTGTCCCGAGCCGTGGCCCTGGTGGGCCGTCGGTTCAGTGTAGACTCATCTGGAAGGCTTGGTATCGAAACGCAAGCGACACTATTGGTTATTAATTGAAAGGGGCTTAGCCCCGTCGATTCGTGGGGCGTTCCGCGATGGACCGCCAGAATGTGATCGACGATATAGGGCCAGGGTCTCGGATCCCGTGCCGCAATGTTTCGTCGCAATGCTGTCTTTATCATCCGGTTAGCGTTTTCGACCAGCCCATTGGATTGTGACATGTGGGGTGCAGTGTTCCGTATGGCGACGCCATGTATAACCAGATTCTTTAACACTTCTCCTCTGAATTCAGCCCCATTGTCGGTCAGGATTTCTTCGGTATCCTGATGCATCCCGAGGAAACGGTTGACATATCGCGCGATTTCCGTGGCTTGCCGCGTGCGACAGGGTTACACTTCGATCCATTTCGAAAAATGGTCGACAAATACCAGTAGGACTGAATACTCACAACTATTAGGGCCAGGGGGCACCACTATGTCGGTAGTGTCCATGCTTACTCTCTGAAATGGCCGTTCAACAACCGTGGGCACTATCGATCTTGGCGGCTGAATCGGCGTCTTATTAGCGGCGCAGACTTGGCAGTTGGCGACGATGTGAAACACATCGTCGCGGATATTGGACCAGTACCACTTATTTTTGTCGATAGCGGACTCCGTGATTCGTACGGCGAAATGAGCCGCAGTTTCTTCGTGCGCCGTCTTAACCCAGTCGTACCTCATGAACGGATGCGGCACCACCATCCAAATTCCGTTGCCGTCCGTTTTCCGTTTTTCTAATTTACCCTTTATCCATCGATAATCCCGAGCCCTCTCGTTGGCCCTCCTTCGATCTTCCTTGGTGAAATCCTGCAGGGTGTTACCTACTAGGGTGGCGATTAAGGCAATGTCCGTCCATACTTCGGCCCTTCTAAACTTCCGTTTTTTTTTCAATCCTTCTGACGTGGCATCCAAAAAGCGAGCCTCGGTCGGAATCTTATCGGTCCAGCACAAGGGGCACAACCATGGTTTACTATCGTTTCTGTATTGGATGCACGAGCAATGGATTCGTGCGACACACTGTCGGCAATCGATCCAATCGACATACCCCTCCCCGTTAGGACACATGGAAACCGAATAGATACGGGAGATGGCTTCACAAAAATAGCAAAATTTGTCAGGCAGGGAGAGGAGAAACGAAGAGGAAGGCGGAGAGAGGGGGATAGTGGGGTTACCTCCGTCACCCATCGCCGTCGTTTTACTTCTTGCCATGTGGGAGAACTGCCACTTGTCCGTACCCTGGCTCGTTAGTCAGGTCTGGCTCTTTCCACGGTGTAATTTCCTCGTCCTTTGGTACCTTGGCAGGTCGATGCAAACGTGTCAACCCGTTCGCGTTACCGTGTTGCTGTGACTTTCGATGGATGATATCGAAGTCGTATTTTTGCAATCGCACCGCCCAGCGGCCAATCATGCCCGTGTAGTTGGTGAGTTTCTTCAGTGCCAGCAGAGGCTCGTGATCCGTTACGAGGCGAAACTTCTGCCCGTAGAGATACGGATGGAAGTGTTGGATTGCCCAAACTACCGCATAGCACTCGCCTCGAGATGCGGAGTCGTTTCTACGTTCGTCTGGCACGGTTCGAGACGCGTACTCGATGATGTGTTCGAGCCCATCGTTCCCCTTCTGTGCTAAAATAGCGGAAATAGCTTCCGGTTGCCAGTCCGTGATGAGAATGAACTGCTTCGCAGGGTCCGGCCGAATTAAAATAGGGGTTGTTGCCAGAGTTTCTTTGAGGGTCGCAAAGGCCTGCTAGCACTCCACGTCCCAATTGAGTGGTTGGTCCTTCCGTAGCAGATTCGTTAGCGGTCGTGCAATCGCAGCAAAGCCCTTGATGAAGCGCCGATAGTATGACGCCAGCCCCAAGAAGGCTCGAACCTGCGTCAGTGACGTGGAAACCGGGGCTTCCTTCACCGCCGCGACTTTTCTCGAATCTGGCCGCAGTCCTCCACGTGTCACGACGTAACCCAAGAACGAAATTTTCGAGAGGAAAAATTCGCTCTTCTCAAGCGCAATTTTGAACCCAGCGTCTCTTAATGCACCCAATGTCCATTCGATGTATTGCGCGTGTCCGTGATAGGTTTCCGAATAGGCCAGAATGTTATCCATGTAAACGATCATGCAGAAGTTAATCATTCCTTGCGTCAGTCGTGTCTTGTTGTCGAAGTTTTGGAACGTCATGTTCATCGCTCGCTGAAATGTGGCAGGCGCATTGCAAATCCCCATCGGACATCGAACCCACTGCCACGTACCCTCAAACAGCACAAAGGCCGTTTTCGACCGATCTTCTTTTCTTACCAGAATATGATGAAAGTCATGCCAAATATCTAACTTGCTAAAATATTTAGTGCATCCAATCGCATCCAACAGATCATCAATCCGGGGGAGGGGATACACATCTTTAATCGTGATTTCATTCAGCTTGCGGTAATCAATGCAGATGCGAATCGCTCCATTCTTCTTTTGTACTAACACTACAGGAAAGGACCATGGTCCGGTAGCAGGTTCAATTGAGCCGCTGGCTTCGAACTCTCGAATACGTTCGAGAGCCTTTTTGCGTTCAATCTAGGAATAGCAATAAGGTTTGCAATGAATCGGGGTGTGATTTCCTGTCTGAATTTCGTGTTGGATTACTAATGACATCCCAATGTCAGTGTCGGACACGCTAATCGCTCCTTGATATTCCGTGAGAATATCCGCAATTACCCGGTGGATTGCATCCGGTACATATTGCGGAACGTGCAATTCATAAAGTTGATCCCAGATCCAAACGTCAATCTGTTTCGTATTCGCTTGTTTTGTCAAATCAGGTGGAGGCGCCGAGATGAATGAATGATCCGATCGCCAGGAGAACACCGTGGCCATCATCTGAGCATCTTTTTCTCGGATTGCTACGTGTTCTTTCGGGGTAATCCTGTCACAAACATCCTGCCATGGCACTTCTTTAGTTGCGATCTTTATCCCCAGTCCGTCTGTTTCTGCTTCAAAACGCCCAAGGGGTTCCAGAGAGCTTGCTTCCGCCCCCAAGCGTAACAATCTCACTTCTTTGGTCGAGGTTAGTAAGGACTTAGGTAGATCCGTTATATCACAGTAATGCTTCTTGTCGCTGTACCGGACGAGGAGGGGGGTGGTTCCTTCGTACAGGGTTTGAGGGGGTTCCAAAGAATCGACCATCCTCAAAATCTGCACGAGGGGCTCACCCAAGATCATTGCCTTGGTTCTTTGAATGTTTCGGTTTGTCAGCTGCATTGTTCTTGCTATCGTTTTGGGCGGCGGGTAGTAAACGCGCTGTCGCGCTAATTTCAGGATCTCTGGATCATCTTCGTCACTGCTGTCCGCATCATTCGTTGATAACCTTTCGTCTGCGGATTCATCCCAGGAGATCATGCGGAGAGTCCCTGCCATCATCGGCGAAACCCGCGGAACCGTGTTAACAGTAGTGCGAAGGGTCAATCGCATGGGCACAGCGTAGGGTTTTCCGCCTGTATTTCGGAGAATGATCGAACGTCTCTTGAGATCCAGGTTCGCTCGTAACGCCACAAGAGCAGGAAGTCCCGAAAAGAACGTCGTACGTATTAACATCTAGGACTACGACATCCCCAAGCACGTGCAATTTGCCCAATCGGAAAGCGACATTGGTCATTCTTTCCACGGTTTTAATTTTTTCTTCGTCCACCGAAACGAGCTGATTTTTATCAGAAAGCATGATCAGGTCGTTTTTCCTTCCTGCCCTTTCGACCACTCTTAGTGAAATAACCAACAAAGCTGCTCCCGAATCTATAATTGCGTTGTAAGGAATTCCCCAAATTTCTATGTCACATTCTACGGATTTCCACGGAATTGGTTTAATCCGCAAGAAATGATCGTCTTTCTGAATTAAACTTACCCGTATTGGATCCGGGGTGCCTGTTGGGTTTTCTTCTGGCGCGGGGCCTTCAGCTTTTGCATTCGGTGTTCGGGCAAGGGCGAATCGTTTTCTGTTTGCCTTGCAATGTTGTAGCATTCGCTCGTTGGCTTGCTCGGAGATCGAGAGTAGGTGACCAATCGGAAAGGGA